TGGGTTGATAGGAGGGTGCGTAGCGTACATGCGGTTTCTGCCTGCTCCCCTTGGCAAAGCACACGTCCTTGCAGGGGTCCGGTGTCGGACATGTTTCTCCGCTTGCCAAAGTCTGAGCACTTGCGCCTGTACTCAAGCCTTCTAAGCTGGGCCCTTTGCCCGATTTGAAAGGCCACGAGATCTTGCCCCAGTTTGTGGAACCTTCCGGACCTATCATCCAAGCTCGAGCTCAAACAAGATGCGGTAAGGCCAAAGCCCCTGCCGATGACCGACTTTGTGTGCTCGCAAGAAAATGCGGGACTCAGCAGCGTTCCAGAAGCCTGAATACGCACTTGCGGCGACTTCCCAAACAGTCGAGCCCATCGGAGCTCGTGTCGCGTGTGCCACTGGCGATGGCGTCGTTTGCAATTAGATGTTTGACTGGCTCATGGGCTGCATAATCCACGGCTGTGCAAGGACGGCTGAGATCAACACGACAGGCTGAAGGCTTTGGAGGTGTTGTGAGAGGTCACGAGGCCTTGCCACAGCTCCTGGAACCTTCTGGACCTTTCGTACAGGCTCGATCACAAGCAGCTTGGACTAAGGCAGGAGTTCCTGGTGAGGTCAAGGGTTTATGATGGAACGCTTGAAGGGCACGTCGTGGCGCCTGGCCGAGCTACTAAAGCCGCTTGTGGCCACTTGCGCTGGAGCCAGTAACTGAGGCATGTCAAACGAGACTTGCATCATGCTTCCCGGGGATTCCCGGGGCACAGGTCTGTCAGCGTGACTTGCGCCATCATTGTGGGAGGCCAGGCACCACCCGTTGCCGGAGCTAGGCGGTCCTGATGTTCGCAGTTTCTGACAGAACGCTCCGCTCTCTCCACTCCCTTGTTGCAGAGAGACACGACAACGACAAAAGACTGAAAGCCAGGCTAGCAAGGAGGCCCGACACGCCACCGCAACCTATGCGACCTGGATCCGGAAGTCGATAGAGTCCGAGCCCAACCGTCCGTGCCCCTGGAAGCAACGTCTCGGAATGCTAAAATCAAGTTCAACGCATGGGCGAACCGGGGGTGATGGGAGTGCCCAGCATGCGTGCGTGCGACAATGTGCGCGTGTTGCACACGAGCCGGGAAATGGCAGAGCTTCGGTCTAGGTGTAGGCGAAGGTTCCTGCCTGGGTGCCAGCCACCCTTGCTGGGGTGTGAGCGAAGGTTTCCGTCAAAGGGTGTGAGCTAAGGTTTGGGTCCGTATGCGGAGGCGACTCCGCAAACTCGGCTTGCCTCTTAGTCCCTGACTTGGCTTGATGTAAGCCATCCGCAACACCGCCCACCCACGGAGCCCAAGCTCACCCAGGCGCCAACGGTCTGAGGCGCAGGTCCACCTCACTCTGGCCAGAGAAGGGGGTCCGGCTGAGGTACCTTGTAAAGTATCAGTCCAGACAGGTCCATCTAGGCAGGATACGTCTGCCTTGACCAACTCCGGATGCCATCAGTCCTCATGAAAGCCGGTCTTCAGTGCAAGGTATCGAGAGGCTCCGGGATGATTTCAGGCCGTCTGCATGGAGTTGCGCCATTGCCGCGGTCCGTTTCTGCTCTCAGCGCGCTTGGAGACCTGGGATGACCTTTTCTCGCGTCTGCCAATTGCCGCCGAAGCGACTTGGGAGTGTTCTGTGGTGTAGACCAGCTGAAGGCTATAGGCAAGAGGGCGTGAGCCTTTTGAAACTGCAACCAGAAGGTGCCCCCCGCCCCACCCAAAAAAAGCTGCAGCTTCAACCTTCTGCAAATGTGTTCCTTTGCGAGCATCGACACCCCGTCGCACGCTCTGCGCGTGAAGGCGGCAGGACACATGCAGCGCGAGCATTCGGCACATGCAAAGTGAGCGTGTAGACCTCCTAGATTCACGAGAGTGTCGGAGGTCCGGCATCCCAAGTCCTGTGCCCGCTTTTTAGTTGAGGGTGCCGGTGCATTTGGTGCTTGGGCTCTGCAGCCTGGAGTCTCAAAAAGCACGTTTGCAGCGCAGCTCGGCGGACGCCGAGGGCCCTTGGGTTGCACAGCTTGCAGGCCTCGGATGAGAGGATTTGGTGTTCAAGGCGCGTTGCCTGTCTGATGTTTGTAGGGCAGACCCAGACATGTCCGCCAACTTGCACATGCTGCTGTTTAACACGTGCACCCCGCCTGGCCGCCCACCAGTACCCGCAGTTGCGATCTTGATGCCGGTGAAGCCTCGAAGCTTGCCCAAGCGCCTGCAGCTCCGTGGACTAGGGACCAAAGCAGGCAGGATGCGCCGGTCCAGAGCACATCAGCCGGTCCAGAGGCACAGCATCAATACTTGTGGTCTCCTGCACTCTGCACTCTGAGGACTTTTGTTTGAGGTCGGGTTCTGTCATCTCCCATGTCGCAGGCCTTCCCTTTCCTCCACAATGGGTGAGGAACTTGGGATTGAGAGGTCAGGCCCCGGGGGCCGGGCCGCAAAAGATGGAGGGCACGTCGGAGTGCTGCGTGGATGCTGCGCTTAGTAAGCCGCGCCTAGAGAGCAGGGCTTCGGCCCTCTCTCTCTCGCACGACCCTCTTCGCCCTGCACCTTCCCACGAGGCTTCCGCTGAGTTTGCGTGTTCAGGGACTTTCCTGCAGGCGAATCACGCAAGGCCGAGCCCCTACAACTTCTCGCGTCTTCGGATCCCCTCCCAATCCGATGTCAAAGCGCTGTGCGTGTGCGGAGTGGTGTCCTGGGGTGCAGGGCTCACGTAGCTTGAACCGGGTCTGACTGGGGCCCGGAGACGAGGGCACTTCGCCAGGTCGGCTTTGTGGTTGCTTGGGTTTTTGAAGCAGGGAGCCCAAAAAGTCATGTCAATAGCTCCCCGAAGGAGTATGAGGTCGATGAGGGCCACGGCTTTGGGTGCAGCAAGGGCCTCGCTTCAGGGAAGGTTTCTTGTAGGTAGTTGGGGATCTGCGAGGAACCGTAGCAGCTGTAGCATGAAGAGCGGCTCAGGCCCGCTGCAAGCTTAGTAGTGTGCTGCTGCATCCTCGCTCGACAGAAGCGCGTGAGCAATCCGATGGCCTTGAAGCGCAAGATGTTGCAGTGTCGCAGGGCGCCGATTCACAGAACCTTAACTTGAGCCCCGGCCGCTGACGAAGAGTATCTTAAAGCTGTTTGCCCCGAAAGGAGGACATCGGCTTTGGCCGATGTCATGCATTCCTTGCGACGTTCCTCAGGTATGGAGCCCGCCCTGTCTTAAGCCCCTCCGACCGCGGAGCGTCCGGAGGACGCATGCACTGCAATGGTGCCCTTCTGTGCAGTCATCAGCACACCATGCCGTAAACCAACCGCTCCTGTTCTTGATGGCATCGAGCGTTTCTGAAGATCTTTTTCAGTCGTGTTGACATGCAAGGCTGAAATGCAGCGCCTGCAGATGCTTGCCGGCCGCGCAGGGCAGGGCTGCAGCAAGAAGTTTACAAGAACCTCGCGATGTGCAGTACAGGAACCTCCCAGTCCCCATGGCAAAAGTCTTCAGGGAGAGTTTTCCCCATCCGCAGCAGTCTCTGCGGATTGCAGGAGGAATGAGGAGGAATGGAAGGTTGCATCAGGGGACAGCATCCAACAGCTCGCACTAACCAGATGCGGACTGGCAGTGGCACTGCTCATCTTGAGGCTTGGAGACCGGAAGTTGTCCTGTCACATCTGACTATCAAACTACCCAAACTTCGCGCGTCGGAGTTTCGAAGCCCAGGAGAAGTTCTTGGGCGTGGGGCCTGACCTCTCCCCATCTTGCAGCCTCTTTGTGCCCCCGCCTGTTGTGCCAGCCTAGACATGACTTCACAGAGAGTCGGAGTGGGGGCCAGCAGCTCCCACCAACTCGCATTGCAGGATGCAGACTGCCACTTGGCAGTGGCACTGATCGTCATGGAACGTTTGCGGCCACGACCTTCAGGCTTGGAGACAGCGCTTGTCCCAGCCTCTCGTTTCTAACTGCCAGATGCTGCCTTGAGATTGCGGCGAAACTCAAACTCCATTGTGTAGGAGTCCCGAAGCATCCAGTGACCAAGCCTGAAAGCTCCAGATTATTTTCCCCGGGGCCCGCTGCCTGGTTTTCATTCGCAGTCTCGCAGACTCTTTGCGCCAGCTCTCGCACCTTGCGGGCCCTGTGCCCCATGTGGTACTTGAGTCCCAATTAGGCGCCAAATTAAGCCCCAAATCAAGGCCCAAATTAGGCCTTTGCGGCGGCCACGAAAAAAGCGGCCTCTGGGGGCTTGTTGGGTTGTGCGCCAAGAACGTTCCCCACACAGGCAATGCCTAAGTGTGCCCCTTTCTGTGGGGCTTCCGGACTCAAGGCCTAAGGCCAAGCGCTTCTCCCTTCTCCTCGCCCCTCATTCTTGGTCGGGCGAAGCACTTAGCTTGGAGTTCTCAAAACTCTGCCTCGTCTTGATGCTGTCTTTCTCTGTTCCGCAGGCAAACTAGACAAACCAGACAAGAGTGCGAGAACTCAGATGCTTGACAGGGGAGAGCACAGAGAGTCGACGGCCAGCATCAACCCTGAGAGAACGGATTCCCAAGCCTTGCTTAACTTCGTGAGGAGGAGCTTTCCTGTATTCGAAGGACCACTTGGAATGACTTCGACGACATGCATCTCTTCTCTCCTGTATCCGATTTGCACAGCTCCAGCCCCCCTACGTAGCCACGCCAGCAACAGGCCATCTGCGCAAGCGCCGGGGACTCCGCGGACCACGCCGGCTTACACAAGCAGTTTTCTGTCCACAGGCGGTGCTCCTTTTGCATGAGATCGAAGATCATGCAAGCACCACTCCGTCCGCCAGGGACTCACCCATCGATACTCGATAGGGTCCGTCGGCTGACCAAATCGGCACCAGGATCGACGATTGTGAGCTATTTAAGAATTGTGTGTTGCATGTTGAGCTGAGATGTGGGCCAATGCCCCCCCTCAACTTCCAGGCGATAGTCTGAGGGTTCAATTAGCAGCAATCCAACGTGCATACTACACGGATCGCCGGTGTCAGGAGGGAATTAGACAAGAAGGGTCGGTTTTGAATGATTGGGGAGGTGTTTGACAAATTCATGGGCTACAATGGAGGCTGGCATCTGATGACTTGAGTGGCCAGGAGTTTCATTGACACGCGGCCAGTGGAACGAGCTGTGCAAGGCCATCCCATTGGCACAGATCGACCAGGCAGACTCGTAGCGAGTAGATCCGTTTGCTTTCAATCTTTGTCGACCATCGTCACTATTGCCTCCATCACATCCTTGGTCTTCGGCCTGCTGCGAGAAACTGCGTCCAGCAAAGGGCAGCTCTTGGTGCAAGCCACCTGCCAGGGCTAAACCAAGGCTGAGCCGTACCTCCGTACCATCACAGACCTTCCTTGCTGATATCTTGTTGAGTCGCAGGCCGGACATGAGGAAACACAGACACACTGCCCTTCGGCTCCCTGCGCGAGGCATCCGAGACCTTCGCCGGCCCTTCTTAGCGCCTTGAACCTGATCTTGTCGCAGGGCGTGCTCCAGGAGCTTTGCGAAGGCAGGTCCTGGAAAGCTAGGGCTCCCTCCCCCAATTGCAAAAACCCTCGATAAGCTTCCTAGACCCTGGTCTGGTCCTTTGACGCAGCCAGCGCAACCTCGGGGCTGATCTGCAAAGCCGGGTGTGCAACGGCGGCTTTCAAGGAGACCAGGGGCTTAGTCTTTCTCTGAAGGAGAATCTAGAGAGATGCCGAGTCGTGGAGGATGCCTACGTCTTTGCAGGCGCCGTGCCATGGTCGTTCCATGTTGGGCCACTTGAGCGCGCTGTGACTCCAAGCAACTTTGTGCGGAGTATGAGGAGCGTGCGGAGTGTGCGGTTAGTGCAGAGTGCAAGGGGTGGGGGGGAGTGCGAGGCACATCCTCGAAGAGCCCGACCGCCTAAGCAGGCGGGATCGCGTAGGCTGATGGAGGCACGTTGCTGGCTGGGCAGTCAGACATCACCGACAGAAGGAACAGTCACAGGATGCTTTGCCTGGAATATATGCACCGCGTGCAAGGATCTTTCGCCCCTTGTGGTTGTCTGGGATCTGCACGTAAAGCCGCAGCTGCCAGAACGGCCGGGTGCTGCACGGCCTTGCTCCAGATCTCTTCAAAGTTGTGGCCGGTCTGATTGGGCAGAGGTGCTTTGCAGTATCCCGGTTTCATCACCCTTGTAGCCTCCATGGCAAGCTCCCGAAAGCTCTGCCAGTGCAGAAAGACCACGGCACTTTGGGCCACGGCTGTACCTCGAGCTTTTCAAGCCTTGCAGCCTTTGGACATCATGGAAGCTTTTCCGGAAGACTCGGCTTAAACGCATAGCACTTTCTCGTCCGCTTGTTACTGCACGCAGAGCAACACGTGCGTAGGGTTCCTGAACCCGCTTCTGTTCCGGCTTAGAGTAGGGATTAGGGTGAAATGCCGTGCAATGTGTAGCAGGGCAGTGCTGCCAGTGCCTTGGACACCCGCCGTTGCTTTTGCCGCAGTCCGATTGGTCCGTCATCAAACAGGGGCTTCTTTCCACCAGAGGCTCGGGCTTGTGGAGGGACGTGAGCCCTGCAGTTCCTTGAGCTCTTGGGCCTAGATGCTACCATCCTTTCTGCCCTTGCTGGCCTCCTCTTGCTCTCAGCCGACCCTTGCTGCGTCCCTCCTCCGCTCCGACTTGCCGCTTCCACGTCGAAACTCGGGCCGTTGCTCACGAGGCTCACGAGGCTCGCGAGGGCGGCTTTCTTCTCTGCCCTCTCAGCTCAAACAGCCCAGCAGGCCCCAAGCCAAAGGCACTGACGCAAACCTCTTCTTGACGAGCAGGTGCCCCTGACCCATCTTAGCCGTCCGGCTACCACGCCAAATAGAAGCCCCTGATGGTACCCTTGGAGGACTCGGGAATCTTCCATGGCAGAGGCACGTGGGCTGCTGCTACCATCCTTTCTGCCCTTGCTGGCCTCCTCTTGCTCTCAGCCGACCCTTGCTGCGTCCCTCCTCCGCTCCGACTTGCCGCTTCCACGTCGAAACTCGGGCCGTTGCTCACGAGGCTCACGAGGCTCGCGAGGGCGGCTTTCTTCTCTGCCCTCTCAGCTCAAACAGCCCAGCAGGCCCCAAGCCAAAGGCACTGACGCAAACCTCTTCTTGACGAGCAGGTGCCCCTGACCCATCTTAGCCGTCCGGCTACCACGCCAAATAGAAGCCCCTGATGGTACCCTTGGAGGACTCGGGAATCTTCCATGGCAGAGGCACGTGGGCTGCTGCCCTTGAGTGCGCAGCCCCATGCGAGAAAGGAGTCTAGGGAGGCCCCGGCCCTGCCCTTTAAGGAGCCTGTGAGGCCCAGAGGCCTCAAAGGAAGGCCTTCGGTTAGCTTCTTTTTTCTGCCAACGAATATGAGGCCTGGGCTTCCTAGGGGATGTGGAGTGGCTACCGCCATTACTCACAGGCACGCTTGGGCTGCTAGGCACCGCAGAGAGCGCTCAGCGGCCCACCTTACCGTGCCGCTGCGTCCTTTCCGCGTCAAACTCGTTGGCATTCCTTGTCGCACAGAGCCCGTGAGGAAGCTCCACCATACCGCGCTGAAAAGACGTCACTTTCGATGCCGTGCGTGCCTTTCATCCCAGTGAGGCCAGCTTCTCAGGTGCCTGCGGGCAGCTTGCTTGTGTCTTAGACCGTCATCCGCCGAAGAGAGCACCGGGCCTAGTTTCGGGAGTACGGTGCGAGGTCCATGTGGACTTGAACGGGCTCTCAGATTTGCCTGTGGCGAATGTACTCCGGCTGCAGCTCGGCGTATGCGGCGCGCACTTGATGTCCTTGATGATTTGAGCACGGGCAGAGCACAAGGCAACAGCCCTCCTCGCAGCCCAAAGTGTACTGTTCAACGACAGTAAGTAGGCCCAGGACGATCAACAAAGGATCATTCCGTCCAGCTCCAATTCTTGCCGCAAGTCTTCGAGGTTCACTGCTGGCCTCGCGGGCCTCGATTGGCACAGCCGATGTTCTCGCCTTGCCACAGTCCACTTTTCAACGCTCGGTGCGCTCGATGTTTAGATCACTTTGCCACGTGCTAGCTGCAATGGTTAAGGGAGTGGACCACTTTTATGCGGCCCTGGCTGATGCTCCGGTTGCAGATGGAAGATTCAGCATGCAAGGCTTTGCCTGCTTGACAAGGGAAGACAGCAGACTGCACAAGTGTCTGGCATTGCCATCTCCTCGCAGCATCGACACTTCGTCCCAGGCCGCGTCAAACTCGTTGGCATTCCTTGTCGCACAGAGCCCGTGAGGAAGCTCCACCATACCGCGCTGAAAAGACGTCACTTTCGATGCCGTGCGTGCCTTTCATCCCAGTGAGGCCAGCTTCTCAGGTGCCTGCGGGCAGCTTGCTTGTGTCGTAGACCGTCATCCGCCGAAGAGAGCACCGGGCCTAGTTTCGGGAGTACCGTGCGAGGTCCATGTGGACTTGAACGGGCTCTCAGATTTGCCTGTGGCGAATGTACTCCGGCTGCAGCTCGGCGTATGCGGCGCGCACTTGATGTCCTTGATGATTTGAGCACGGGCAGAGCACGAGGCAACAGCCCTCCTCGCAGCCCAAAGTGTACTGTTCAACGACAGTAAGTAGGCCCAGGACGATCAACAAAGGATCATTCCGTCCAGCTCCACTTCTTGCCGCAAGTCTTCGAGGTTCACTGCTGGCCTCGCGGGCCTCGATTGGCACAGCCGATGTTCTCGCCTTGCCACAGTCCACTTTTCAACGCTCGGTGCGCTCGATGTTTAGATCACTTTGCCACGTGCTAGCTGCAATGGTTAAGGGAGTGGACCACTTTTATGCGGCCCTGGCTGATGCTCCGGTTGCAGATGGAAGATGCAGCATGCAAGGCCCGTCACTGCGTGCGGCACCAAAGTCTAAGGTGCAAGGCGAGCCTGCTGCAGGCAATGCCTGGACGCGCACGCCCACACAGCTGTTGCATGAGGCCTTCAGGTAGTCTGCAGCCTGCACGGCAGAGTGCTCTCGGTCGCGCCTAATTTGAAAGAGGTCTACCGGATCTCCCTAAAAGCCACCGGCGAGGCCCCCCGGTAAGGTCGGTGACCATTTTTGGATCTTCCCTCATCGCGGTATCGGCTGCGAAGTGGGACCTTCCAAGCTGCGATAAGCCAGAAGCATCGGACACTGCATGATTTCGAAGGCCTCCCTTGGCAGGCTGTCAACAACCAGGTTTTCTGGCTTTCTATTCCGCTGTTGCTGACCGTCAGCATGGCACCCTCATTAAACCTTAAGCGAGATGGAAGCTCTTTCTTGTGAGCATCGCCAGCTCAGAGTCCTGAGAGTCCGGACGGCCAGTCGCTCCGTCCTTTCCATGAAGACAATTCCGAACGATGAGGGGCTTGTGACGCCCGTTCTTCCACCTGCTTTTCTTGTGTCGTAGAAGCTGCGCGGAGAGGCGAGGCTCCGCTGTCCCGACCCTGCAGGTGGCCCCTATCAGCTCGTGTATCCCATATTCCTGACCTCGGCTTGGGGAGGATGAGCGAAATCCAGTTTGTGCGATGCTTACCAGCCAGCTCACCTGGCTGCGTGGCTCAACCAGGACGGCTTGACTTATCTAACTGGAAAAACACCCAATTTCAACGTAGGTGGCGGTTGGGGGCGTTCCTGACGCTGCCATAAAAGGTGGGACTGGGGCGATGACCGGATGACCGAGAATGGATCTTCACCAACGCCTCCCCCGCTCCGGCGGGGGTCGGCGGATATTTTCGTAAACTATACCCCACCACGGCCCTAAAAAAGAGGCACAGAGCGTCCGGAGGGTGAAGTTCCGTCACGCAGTCTTAGCAGCCCCGGGCTTAGGCAGCTCTCACGTGGCCTACATGGCCCAAGCTGCTTCGGAGACACCTGGCGATACTTCAATACTTCATGCCTCCCCCTAAGCTTTTGCATATCCGGGCCTGGTGTATTTTGTTCCTACAAAAATCTTGTAAGAATGTCTTCTCTGCCCTCGATAGAGAGAGTTTCTTCGGGCGGGTGTGCGCGCCACACCCCTCGCACGCTGCGGCTTGCGTTCTGTGGCACGGCCTTCAGCCAGAAGCCTCTGTCTGTACTGTGCGCTCCGCAGCGGACAGGCCCGAAGTGCTTGGCCCTGTGGAGCACGGCAGCATGAGTGGCAAATGTTTCACATGGAGCCAGCGCTTCCTTCGCAGGAAGTTGGTGAGCCTAGAGCCGGTGCAAAGAGATCTCTGGATCTTGCTGCAACGCTGGCGAAGAAATCAGGTGCGCATTGCATGGGTTTGTTGTATGTTTCGGGTCGTAGGTGCCGCAGCTGGGTTTGTCATGAGCCCTCAAGTAGAGCCTGAACCCTCAACCCTTCTTAGAGCCCTACTTAGAACCTTTCTCTTTTAAGCTTACCATGAGCCCTTCAAGGATGTGTGATCAAGCCAAACGCCTGAGTGACGGTGCGATGTTCGGGCCTTCTTGGCAGTTGGGCTTCATAGGGCTCCATAGGGTTAAGAGGGCTTGCAGAGCTTATAATGCTAGGATCCCAGTTTAGTCAGCTTGCCGCCGGCCGGCAGGATATTGCTTCGATTAGGTCTCAACTCTTCTTACGGCGCCAAGTTGGTCCTGTGAATCGGGAGTGGAAGCTTCCCGTGGCCTTGACCACGAGGCATCGACCGTTTGTTCAAAGTGCATGAATGCTGTACGTTGTGCAGGTGGTATTGGCCTAGCATAAGAATAATACTACTAGTAATAATAATCATAATTATAATTAAGTTGTTTCCCATTCCATTATTATTATTTGGGGGGGGGGAGCATTGGCAGCACTGTCAGCACCTTCGGGCAAGTGTCCGGCTGGAGCCATGGATCCGAGGGTCTCACCGGATCTACTTGCCGGGTTCTCGACATGGCAGGGCCGCCATGCACAAGATTCTATACCCCCCTTGAGATTTTTTTTTGAAATATTTTTGTTCGTATATAGAACCCAAGAGGATATTAAAAGTAATATTTTTGTTAAGGTTCTAAGGGGAGTATAGGATTGTGCGGATACTCCAAGCCCTGCAATACGGACCCCACAGAACTGCGTAATGATGGTCAGAGGGGCCATACTTGTTTGGCGGCCGGGGTAATCACAGCCCTCCTTCACCATGAGAATCATTGGCAATGGTGCCCGGGCTTGTGCAGATTTGCGTTCAGTTCCAACCAGATTGAATCGTATTTGGGGTGGTGTGGAGACCCATTCGTCCGTTTTGCTGCAGAATCCGAAGCTCTAAGCTCCAAATCCTCAAATCCGTCGATTTTTGACCCCAGGCCGCGTTACAGTTGCACAAACGTATGGTGACCTTTCTCCCGGAAACGTACTAGCACCAACCTCGCATGGCAAGGTTTGCTCCCCGATGAATTAGACTCCAGATGCGTGCCGGAGAGTGTGTGCATGTTTGCTGCACGCTTGTTCTGGGTAGATGCCGAGTTCTTGTTAAACCCTAAACCCTAAACCCTAAACCCTGAACCCTGAACCATTGTTAACCGTGGCAAGAGCACCACAGCAAACATGTAAAGATATTGCGCCCTGGTCGGCACGAATTGAACTTTGTAAGCCCCAGGCCCTGAAACCTGTGGATCCCACATGCCCTGCACACCAAACCCTTTGCTACAAGCTCTTCGTATTGCATCCATGTGGATCCCGTAAATCGTAGAATAATGCCGGGCCATACCATAAGTCACCTATTCTAAGCCCAGTGCGGCATGTCAAGGCATTGAGCACGTGCTTCGACCAGACGAATGGAGTGGGCCACACAGGAAATACCAGCACAACTCGAGTGTGAGTGTTCATGGAGAGTAGGGTTCAGAGTGCAGAGCTGATCTAAATTCTGTCCCTGATCTCGAAACCCAAGCTCAAAACCCTAACCTCTCAACCCCCCGGAGTTCCTTCAGATTCCTGACAGCTTGCCCCAGCCAAGGCAGCCCAGGGGCCCTACATTAGAGGGTTAGGGCTCTTGGTTTTCAGGGGGACTCAATCACAAATGTTGCCCGTAGTACGAGGACCCCACCACCCCTCCCACATGCGAGCACGGAGCCTGTAACTTGCAATTCCCAAGCCCCAACCCCGAACCCCGAACCCCAAACCCCGAAACCCAAAACCCCGAAACCCCAAACCCCAAACCCCAAACCCGAAACCCTAAACCCGAAACCCTAAACCGCCTAAATCCCCGAAACACCCCGAACCCCAAACGGCCCGAAGCCCCGCAGCGAGGCCTCGGAGGTCGCGCAAAGACTGCGCGTCCTCACTGGGCAGCGGGGCAGCGCGAGGCTTCAGGGTTAGGGTTTAGGGTTTAGGGTTTAGGGTTTCGGGTTTAGGGTTTAGGGTTTAGGGTTTAGGGTTAGGGTTAGGGTTTAGGGTTTAGGGTTTAGGGTTTAGGGTTTAGGGTTTCGGGTTTAGGGTTTAGGGGTTAGGGTTTAGGGTGTAGAGAGGTTCAAAGTTTCTGGTTAGGTTTAGAGAGTTTATGAGTTTCTGGTTTAGGTTTAGAGAGTTTATAAGTTTCCGGCTTACAGGGTTTAGAGAGCTTATAAGTTTCGGGGTCCTAGAGGGTTTTAGGCATTACGGGCTTATAGAGTTGACATGGGTTGTAGGGTTTGTAGGTTACCTTCAAACCCTAAACCCTAAACCCTAAACCCTAAACCCTAAACCCTAAACCCTAAACCCTAAACCCTAAACCCTAAACCCTAAACCCCAAACCCCAAAGCCCCAAACGCCCCCCAAGGTTCAATTCCGAAGTGGCCGAGTGCCTCATGCGCATCAAGGCCGGGTCCTGCTGGCGTGGATGGGGTTTAGGGTTTAGGGTTGAGGGTTGAGGGTTGAGGGTTGAGGGTTGAGGGTTGAGGGTTTAGGGTACCCTAAACCCTAAACCACCAAATCCTAAGCCCCTGAACCGCCAAAAACCCTGAACCCTGAACCCCTCTCAACCCTAAACCCCAAACTGAAGGTTGCTGAAGACTGGGTGGCTTGGACCTCGGTAGGTGCTAAAAGTTTGGCGTTTAGGGCTGTGGGGGTTCAGGTTTTAGAGGCTTAAGGTGTAGGGTTTGAGGCTTTGAGGGGTTAGGGATTAGGCTACTGTGGCGGCAAAGCCGGGTATTCGTACCCCAAACAGCCGGTGCAGGGTTCAGGGTTTCATGCTTGAGTTCTGCAAACTGCTTACTGTTGCCCTTAGAGCCTCGGTCTAACACCCCCCCCTCTCCTCCCAAAATCTCCCAAATGCTTCAGTTTCACGTGGCTGTTTCTCTCTGCTGTGGCAGGAGATCGACGGAATAGCCAAAGTGGAGCGATCCGCTCAGCACACTTCAGAGTATTACAAAACAGCACCCCGTGCCTTCATCGGCCCAATCCATCGTGCGTGAAGCCCTGAGCGGTGTTGGGAGTGCAGCATAGAAGGACTTGAAGTTCAGGTGTCGCCATTGAGTCGCCATACCGATGTTTGCCCACCTGCAGATTCTGTCATTGCTTTCTGCCGCATGAGAACGTCACCTTCAGATGTAGCTTGTGTACGGCGGTGTAGAGTTCGGGATTCGGAGTCACCCCAAGCCCGAAAGGAGGCATTGTGTGCAACTCCTTGTGCCCAACATCTGGCTGGTAGGTTGGTGAAGTGTCTCTGCAGATCATGCAGTGCTGGCCTTCATAGGGTACTTGAACCAAAGCCTCTTAAGCCCTCTTAAGCCGTGTGAAACCCCAAACTTCGCCACATGGGGCCCAGGCAGTGCCGCCTCTCCGAGTCGAGCCCTGAGGTTTAAGGTTTGGGGTTTAGGGTCTAGGGTTTAGGGTTTAGGGTTTAGGGTTTAGGGTTTAGGTTTTTGAGGTGTAGGGTTTAGGGTTTGCAATGACTACGAAATATGGGGAACAGGGTTCCTCCCATGTCCCGGGCTCTAAGGTTTGTACAGGGCCAGAGCCAAGTTTCAACACCCACAGTGTACACACGGAGTAGCGAAGTGGTGCGAGAGCCAGCCCACAAGAGGGGTACAGGGGCAAAGGGGCTTAGAGGTTTCAAGTTTAGACCCCCGATTTTTTGCGGGGTTGATGAATATGCTCACCCCAGGTCAGGGCTCACAGAGCGGAGCCGCATCGCCGAGGACATGGAGCAAGATCGAGCAGAATTTGGGGGTACATGAGCCTTACAAGAGGTAAGGGCAGAGCTCAGGCGCTGAGCCTGAAATCCATCTCCCAAGCGCCTACGCCGTTACAGCACCCAAGCCACGAACGTCTGGACCCTAAACTCATGAGGCCCAAATCCCAAACCCCGAATTCCTGACTCTCAGCCGCAACACCCCGCATCAATCCTAAAGTGCCCTGAAAAAAATCACTCAAAGACCATACTTTCTTAGGCCCCGACACCCTGGACCTTTGTTGCCCAGCCGTGAGTGGTGACCCAGTTCTCGCAGGAGGCGCGCTCCCAGCGCTACAAGCACCTGGTCGACGTGATGCAGGCTATCTCGGAGTTTCTTCGCTCGATTTGGGGTTTTTGGGGGGCTCTTTTGGGCTTGTTGGTCTTTTTTGTCGACCCCGTTTCTGTCTGGTATGCTGCCAGGGTAGGGGGGTGGCAAGGGCTGTTGTAGCTAATTGTAAAATTTTCTGGCTCAGCGCACATTCCTGGCTTCGCGCACTCGCTGAGCGTGTTCACTTCGTTGTAAGCCCGCGTGGCTCACTTCACAGAGACGGCTCTTACCTAGCTCTGAACGGAAGCTGTGCGAACAAAGTTCGCGAGTTCACGACTCAGAGGCTTTCGGACAGAGGTCGCCGGCTTTCGTGACAAGGACCCGAAAAAAAGAGCTGTAAGGCCCAAGGTTCCCGAAGCCTCCTGGACATTCCCGGACCACAGAGGGGTGTTGGGGTTTAGGGTTTAGGGTTTAGGGTTTAGGGTTTAGGGTTTAGGGTTTAGGGTTTAGGGTTTAGGGTTTAGGGTTTAGGGTTTAGGGTTTAGGGTTTAGGTTTGAGCTTGGTGTTAACTTGGAGGTTGTCTTGCAGCCATCGAAGAAGGTCACCGCCATTCAGGGTTTCTTGGGTTCCTTTTTGCTCCGGGTTTTTCCCAGCATTCTTCAATGCGGTCTTTCGACATCCGCTCTTGATCGTGAATCGAAGTATACGGATAGCAAGGGGAATTGCAAGTCGTGAAGAGAAACCCGCGTGTCTTGCTTTCTTCGTGCTTTCGGGTCTTTTGCGCTCGTGATCTCTGATGTGCTCGTTCTCGTTGCTCTACTCGACAGTCCTGTCGAAACATGGCGGACAGAGAACGCAGCATGCGCGAAACTAAGCGCGCAAAAGGCGAACGAAGACCAGATCAGATTAATCCTTTACTAGGGTCGGGGCAGCTGGCTGCACACGACGCAGTCACATGTAATCTCGGCCCCAAGGAGCCAAAGATTACTTGAATGATCATGGGCGTTCATAGGTAGGGTTAGAAGTCGTAAGCGCTTCACGCCTGACCCGGGAACCCCTAAACATCAAGCCTTCCTTCCTTCCGAGGCATCAGGGTCCGGTGACAGGTACCCGCGCGGGCCAAAAACGACATCGCTGTGACGCCGCAGCCCAAGAACTAAGAAATACAGAACCTACGAAACACAGCACAAAGTCGAGAGCACGCTCCCTCAGGGAGACGGTAGCGACTGGTGCAAAGCGGCCATCTGTACAGCATTGGCATGAAAAGCCAAAAGGCCACGTCTCAGCTCGGACCGGAAGGCAGCTACGGCGTCAAGTCTCGAAGAGGCCAGAACAAAGCTGCGACCTTCCCAGCGGACGTCATGCAGCACCACTCGCTTGTCGACTGCGGCAAAGACAGTGCGTATCGCCTGAGAGAGGTGTCCACACCACCACAAGGCTCCAGAGTCGCGCAAGGAGGCAACCAAAAGGAAAATGGTGTTGGTAGCCCTCAGCAAGCGTTGTCGGAACTCCGTACAGGAATCCCGTGAGGCACCTTGTCGGATGTGTCCTGCAGAAGCTGTAGGGGGCGTCCCCATGGCCTCCATACGAAGTAAGCGGGCAGCTTCCACGAACGGCCTTGACCACCAATCCATGTGTGCACACATGGCCCACAGGGACAAGAAGGGAGCCAGCGAAAAGGACAGCCTCCAGAGTCGATGTCCCTGCAACCCGGACCACAAGGGCGACGGAGCAGCCATATCATCTGTAATTGAGCGCCATTCCTTCCAGCCAGCAACACTAGCCTCTGCGAGGGCCCTGGCCACTGCAGGCATCGGGGCTGATTGGGAGAGATGTTCGGCCACCGAGGGCGCGGGGACCGGTGGTGCAATCTCTCCGACAGCAGCCTCAAGCTCAACCCAACGCTGCAACTCGGCCTGGAGTTCAGCCTCCGTGGCATAGCGGTCCTCCTCAGCCGCCCGACGCTGAAGGGGGGTCGGCAGAAGCGGTCCCGCGGTCTGTAGCGGCGGGACTCTGAGGTGGCCCGCCTGGAAGCCCATTTGAGATGCATGAGGGCCTGATCCACCCGGCCATGGACGTGCCATGCCGCAATAGCGCCAGACAAAAGGGAGTGCAAGTGAACTGTTTTATCTCGTTGCCCCAGACGGTGCAGGCGCCGGCACATGCACGCTTCGCGTCTCGAGAGGACCGCCACTTGACGCCATGTTTCAAGGCGTCGAAGCTGTCGGCGTCTGCCCCTCCACACCTGCCAGCATTGTCTCAGCCAGGCTAGACGTGCTCGGGCCTTGGCCTGGGCTTTGTCCTGTCTCAACTGTTTGAGGGAACGCAAGAGTCGCCAAGCCTCCTCACTCAGATAGGGTTGCTTGGGGTGCGCTCGGGGTCTGCGAGGCAATTGTCGGCAGAGAGCCTGATATCTAGCAGCAAGTGTCTCGACTTGAACTTGAGGGGCCAGGGATAATGTCTCCGCCCACGATCCGACCGAATCCCACAGGGCCGGAGCCATTCTAGCGCATTCAGCGGGCGTGCACAACCGGGGCGCTCGCTCGGTTGCAGGCGCCGCGAGGGTCAGGGTCCCCTCCGCCAAAAGCGGCATGTGGTCACGCGGGCCCAGGAGAACATCGAAGTCCGGAAACGGTCGCGTCCTGGAGGTGTTCCAAGCTTCTTCGGAGATCAGGATGTGGTCCAGGCGTTTGCGCAGCCCGCTGGAGTGCTGCCACGTCCAGGTGTGCCCTTGATGTATATGCGAGAAGGTGGACACTGCGACCAGGCACGCTTCTCGACAAATATGGGCAAGTTTGTCATCCCCCACTCTAGGCTCATGAACGGAAACCAAGGTGCCAATGTTGTGGCCATTCGTATCAGCAACTGCAAAGTCCGCATTCGCATCAATGCCCAGCCAAATGGCGGCAGTAGGGGGCAATCGAGCCAAGCGTGTTCGCAAGTCACCCCAGAAGGCCACAATTTCAGAACGGGGACGATCCGCATGGGGCGCATGCGCCGACAAAATGCAAATAGGCACAGGCAGCCGCGTTGATTGGATGATCAGCAGGCGGGGGGCAGAGTGCACTATCATCCAAGCATCTAGAGTTGAGCAGCCGGGCGCCCAGCTGTCCTTAACCCAGATTTCACAGCCGTACTGGCCGGCCTTGTCCGTGCCGGAGCGCCACGTGAGGAAGTTGCCGGACACCCACCTCCCTGCACGAGAACGGCATTCTTGGAGAGTGGCAACGTCGACCTTCAGATGGCCTAGTTGCTTGACCAGGTAGGCTCGTCGTTGTCCTGTGCCGGCTTTATTGAAGAAATGCGGGACGACATCCTTCAAGGTTTGGACATTCGCCTGAACTGCGCGGGAAAAGATTGTAACCGGCGAGGGGGTCCCCTCCTCACTTGCAGCCGGCTCACCTGGGGCGTCTGGGATGCCCGAGTCAGGCGGCGGGTCAGGCGCGACCACGACACGGAGAACGAGGCAAGTGTTGGTAAGTAGTGTCCCGTATGGCGCAAGCCACAAGTGCTGAGAGTGTTTAGCCCAGTGGTCCGAAAACTGGGGGGGCTCTCTGCCCCTATCCGGTCCGCTAGGTCCACCAGCCGCGGCTAGACCAGCCAAGCTATCAGCAAGCTCGTTGATGATGTACCCCGCATGACCTGGCACATGTACGAGGTCAGTGCTAACCCGTGACTGGAGTGCCTGCCAGGCCACCCTGGCATCTTGTGCCCATACGGAGGAGGCAGTTGCATGGCCTGCAGCCACCATGAGGGCGGCCTGGTTGTCGACTGCAGCGACAACCCGCGAGGGTACACCTCCCCAAGCGGCCCGGTTGGCATCCACCCAAACGGACGCCCAAAGAGCCGCCGTTTGCAATGCCATAAGCTCAGCAACATAGGAGCGCAGAACGGGAGGAACCTCGGTTGGGAGTCCGGCCGCGTGCAACTTGCCATGTTCCCAGCCGACTCTGAACCAGGAGCCGCGGAAAGCCGCCCACGCGGTGAAAGCCCAGGCCCCAGAACCAGCCCCCGACCCATCCGTGGCCAGGAGGAGCTGATCCGGGACACCATGGGTCCATTTCGGGTATGCGTCCCACGCAGCACGCAGGTGCAGTGGCAAGTCTTCAGCCATCCAGTATTCATAGAGGAACTCCTGTAATTGCCCGGCGGGTGTGAGGTCCGCCTCCCAGATCCGATCTTCACTCTGGCGCCAAACCAATTCCGGTGCTCCGCGGGGGCAGAGGTAGCAGCTCCAGCATTGCGTGAAAATCGGCCTGGCGTCCCAAAAGGCGTATGGGGTGGAACTGTGGCATCGGCTTAGCGGCCATACAAGGTCTGCAGCCGAGAGAGGAGCCCGGAAGCCTTGCCCCATCCACTGTGCTGCGGAAGGGACAGTTATCTGAGGCTTACTATGGGGCAGACCCCCGGCTTGGCATGGCGCGAGAACGTAGAGGACCGCAACAATGCCGATCCACCCGGATGGCGCACCCGTAGCACGGCGCAAAGCCCACCTACCAAGAAGCAGAGTCAGCCATAAAGGTCGGGCACGCAACTCCGCAGTTGATTGTCCCGCGTGCGGGACGGAGGGCTCGATGATATCGCCATCCCGGAGTGAGATTTCAGACGGAGCCAACCCGGCTACCCCGCGCACCAGATGGGAGTTATCGAGGGTGTCCATGGCCCGGATGGAAACCCTCTGGCAGACTGGGCTAGCACCCCAGAAGATGACATGAGCGTACAGATGGCTCGGGCAACGTAAACACAGATGCAGCCCGGGGGCGGGGATCCATGGCACAGGTGCCCATTGCTCCCCTTGTCCTACCCAGTCGCCCGCGAAGCAACAGGCAGCAGGCTTCCACGTGAAACCAACAGGTGTGTCCACGGTGCGCGCCTGTGCTCCTGGGCGCCACATGGTGACTCGTCCAGTTTGCGAGATGACAAATGGGAGCTGCCAAAGAGCATGGTGGCGGGCCTGAGATGGCGTCAGATGTATGGGCATGGCTGGAGGGACCCGATAGTTAGCCATAGGCCTAGCAAAAATGAGGTCACCATGTCGGAGACGGATGTT